GTAGGTTCTTCGAATCCACTAAATTCATGTTCTTCGAATGGGCCTTTTGTATGTTCTTTGAATCCACCAATTGTGTGTCATAGTGTAGAAACTATGTGTGTTGAAGGGTTTAAAGGTGGAATCGAAGCAAGCATGAAGGAAGCCATTGCCTTGTGGATGCTAGCATGAGGGAAGCCCTTGCCTTGTGGATGCTAGCATGAAGGAAGCCCTTGCCTTGTGGATCTAAACAAGCATGAAGGAAGCTATTGCCTTGTGGATGCTAGCATGAGGGAAGCCCTTGCCTTGTGAATCGAAGTAAGCATGAAGATAACCAATGCCCAGTCGAAGCTTTGTGAAATCGAAGCAAGCTTGAAGGAAGCCAAAGTCCAGTCGAAGCTTGGGAAATCGAAGCAAACTTGAAAGAAGCCAAAGTCCAGTTGAAGCTTGGGAAATCGAAGCAAGCTTGAAGGAAGCCAAAGTCCAGTCGAAGCTTGGGAAATCGAAGAAAGCTTGAAAGAGGCCAAAGTCTAATCGAAGCTTGGGAAATCGAAGCAAGCTTGCTCTTCTTTGATTTGATGCTTGAAAGCCCAATGTGATCCATGGGAACTATATGGGCATCAAAAATCCAATTGTACTTGTGCAAACTTGAACTTTTGAAAATCCTTGTGAGAAATGTCTTGAGAAAAGAGAGGACAAATTTTAGGGTACAACACTCTTCCAACAACATCTCCTGAGTCACTTCCAAATTGTTATGAGTCTCTCACAGATCCTTTTATAATTCCTCATCCTCTTGTGAAAAGAGTAAAAAGCCTCGTTGGTATTGTCCATAATGGTTTCCATATCAAACAGCGTCTTTTGGACAACATTCAAGATTGTCTCCTTCTATTTAATCACTAACCCAAATTCTTTCGGCTTCTTATCCAAGGTAGATGGATAACAGTATTTTTGCACATCATCGATCATTCTCTTGAAAAGCTTCAATGACTCAGTAAGTTCATGATGGACCTAATTCCTTTCAATAATAGCACCATCAAGACATTCTTAAAGGTCTTCCTTCTCTTTTTTAAGTTCCTAGGGTCCATAATGTTTCCCTTACCTACAACTTTAAAGTCCAACAAATCGGAAACTTAATGCATCTGATATGATATTTCCTCCATCTCCTCTCTATGAGTTATCTTTGTCTTGTTAAAAAAACATAAATAGTCGTATTAAGATACACGAGGTTAAATTTCCTTGGCAATTCTAGACTCATGAATGATAAGGAGAAATGGAAGTATGGTAGTCAGTGGGGCATAAGAGCTTTCTACGAGGTTTACCTATCTAGGATAGACACTTTTTTTAGTCCCTTGAAGTTAGGTTTATTAGGGATAGGTTTCTTGTTTGTCTCCTCTTTTGGTAGCCTTCATTATCTATCTTTGATGAAGACATACAAACAATGTCATCTCTAGATTGGAGATAAAACTTATGTATATGATCATGTTGGCACTAGGGAGGCTAGTTATGCCTGAAACTCTTCTATAGAAGAAACTTTAAGGGTTCCACATCTTTGGGGTCGTCTTTAGGAAAAGTTTACCTTAGGGTTGAATGGTAAGGGTGGGCCTTTCAATTTCTTCCTTATCTAAATAGTGGTGTCCAAGCAACTTATCTTATATGTAAAATGAAATAAATGATGAGATATGAATTGATACCTTCACAAGAAAATTGATAGATACCCCAGAATATTCAAAAGGTCTGTTCAATCAACATGGGAGTTTCAATATAGGTCTTACTCAACTTCGGACAACAAAAACTAGAATGTCCCAAATCTGCAACAAAGCAAAGAATTTCCCATAAAATAGAGAGTTTTGTCTTAAAATACCTTTATTCTTGAGATAGGTCATCAGGATGATATATGTACGATTCATATCCCTATAAAAGTGATTCTATAGCCATATATTTGAAAATTTGTCACTACATATTGACTAAGATTGGGACGTTGAAGACATAGTTAAATGGTGCCAAACCCGAACTTTATAGATACTTCCATGAGTAATGCAACTAAGAGGGGTGACTAGGTAGTACATGTCTTTGAAATTCTTGAGACAATCTATATATACTTCATACATCTTTTTTCCCTATCTAAATGAGACTAACCGTTAACCATAATCTGACTTGGCCAAAGTTCGTTGAATATTGAAAAATGTGAAGAAGGGCATCAAGGTGGGGACATTATTCTTGTATTCACACCATTATTAATTTTTTTAACATAGGCCTACCTCACATGGTGTATCTGTGGCGCGACGATTCCTAGAAGGTTAATAAACCCTACCTAAAAGTTATTGAAAGGAAGCCTGACCCTATCCACGAGACGATACACTCGTGTAAGAGCATAACACATTCGACTGCATAATATTTTGTCAGCTTCAGGGTGGAGTACCCTCAATCAGAATAAGTACCTACATTAGTGTAGGTGTTGTCCAAAGTCTTCTCTTTGGTAAAAATTAGGTTGTCCGCAATATTTCCTGATCTATTTTACTGGCCCCTATGCACCATTTCTACACTATTGTCAAAGATAAAAAATAACAACCATTAGTACAAGCACGTGACTATGATTCTATTAACCACCTGACTTCATTACCAGTAGGGTCACATCCAAAAGCTTTCATATGTGCCTTAATATAGGTTTGTGCCTTCAGTTTATTCCTGAACTCATATACATATTCTGGGTTTGGCAAGTCCAAGGTCGGGACAGTGAACACTTGAGCGACCTCCTTGATGTCAATTACGTTGGATGCATCTTTCACCTTTGCGTCAACGTAAGTATTTGGGTTCTTAACCCATGAAGGACCTCTCACTATAATAATTTATATTTCTAAGTTCCAAACACTAGCCTTTACAAATTCACTCTTTAATTTCTAACATCGTCGAACGAAACCTCATAACCTATTTGATCTATCTCTGTTGCCCTAGTTCGAGAGAACACATCACTAAGTTTATCGTCACTCACCAGATTTATGATCAAAACATCCAACTTTTTTATATTAGCCATACCCAAAAAGTGAACTCAAAATAACGAAAATGATAAAGAGAGAGATTCTTACCTTGAAATGCTTACATATTTTGAAGAATGAAAAAGGAGAATCATTAGAGTCTCAAAAATTAATTTGTAATAGAGGGAGGGGATCAAGGACCCCCAAAGATTGTAGGAATTTGAAAATGGCAAGGAAAACAAAGAGATTAACATTGTGAAACAAAGAAAGTGAGAAGAGAATTTGATTTCACTCCCTCGATTTTATAGGTAACTAGTGGCATCATTATCTTCGGCTAAGAATCAAGGAAATTTGAAAAGCTCGATCAACGATCTAGATTCAACCTCAATTTTGTAACGACATTGAAATACGCTCAAGCTCTTTAAGAGCGTCATCTCCATACGCTAGATGCGTAGATCCATGTGGAAGTCCTCCCTAAAGTAAAATTCACTAATGAGACAAGCATTTAATTTGTGTGTTTCCAAGCCACCAACTCCCACTCAATTTATCACTAATATCTTGTCTTTCATAGAAAACTCTTCCAACGATCACGACACTTCAGAATAGAACTACGTTGAGGCCGATATCGACAATCCCAAATCAACAATCATATCTCCGTGTTCAATAGCAAGGATTTATGAGGTGGACAATTGTTATGATTCAGTTAAACGGGACAATAAGATCGATCTAATGAGAAGGTCCAATCCAAAGCTTCGTCTGCTCGTGTTGACGAATAAATGTACTCTATCAAGGGAGTAATGCACTAAAGTTAGGTACCGTTCTTATATTAACGGTTAGAATTCATCTGACAGTCCCTTGCACAGGGTGCAACATTCACTGATGGCGATTATAACTATCGTTTTGTGACAGCATCACACTAAGGTACAACTCATTACACTTGTAAGTTCCTACTATCTGACTTCATTGACTTATGCATTGGAAAACTAACCTTACAAGTACACCTCACCATCTATTAAAGACCTTCGCCACCGTACCAAAGACCTTCTACAATAGATTTCACCAACTTACTATCGATTTTCTATCCGCTGCAAACCTTATATTGTCCCACATAAAAGTAACACCAAAAGTTATAAACGGGTCTCTAGAGTGAAATACGACCCTTGTGGATCCATATCCAAGCAACTATCAGACGCTTTTATCAGCAAGAAGATTTTGATTTATTTGAAACTTTTAGTCCAATTGTAAAATCAACCATAATCATATAGCATCATTATTACCTTATGTAAAAACTGGCTTATAAAACAAATTTACATCAAGAGTGTCTTTCTCAATAGAGCTCTTTCTAAAAACAATTACATAGTACAACCTTATGGCTTTGCATAAGGTGGCGGAATCCTTGTTTGCAAACTAAACCAACATCATAATGTCAAATATAGTCAAAGTAATACTATTAGTGAAATGAGTTAGTTAATCAGCTTACTTATCTAACAAATTAGTCAACTTAATTATTTTCACTCTTCTATTGATGATGATGGTCTTGTACATAAGCTACAAATCATTAGTCATGAGTCATTTAATCACATTGCTCAAATATCTACTCTTTCACAGTCTCTTATGAGTACGGATAGTAAACGTGAAAACTTTTACAATTCCAGATTTTAAGGTAGACTTTTGTTTCTTAAATTTTTTACGAGTACTATGCTCCTACTCAATTAATTAAAGGAAAAAAAAATGCAGGTATAATGTACTACTAGTAACTACGTAAACTCCCACTTCTTACTTTTCGGTTTTCACTTCATTTGTTTATTTTTGAGTGCACTTATTTACTTTTCACTTTACACTTTTTCTTTGAGAACTGAAGTGCCATTCCATTTATGAAACTGTTTTGTACAAAAAGCTAACACTCGAGTAGTTAAAAAAGCGTATGCTCCTAAATACAAAATTGTACATACACAGAAAACCAAGAAAAAAAAATAATAACAAAAGCTACTAGCTAGTACAATTTCCAAATTACCCTTACTCTATTTTTCTCTAACAAAAAAAAAAAACTTGCTAAACATTACTAAGACTAGTAGTAATAAGGTTTATGATATGTGAATCACCACTACTACAACTCTTGTTCTTAATTGTCTTCCATTGATTTGTAATATCTTCAGATATCTTGATAGCATCAAAATATGTTCCATGTAGTCCTCTTTTTGTGAACCCTACCGTATACAATCCTTGCTCTCCTTTCCATCCATTAGGAAAGGGTGTTTTAGGCATTCCATCTTGAGTGAAAAAATCACTTCCCTAGAAAAAAAAACAACAAAAAAAAATTAAACATTTTCTAGAGAGTAGAGAAGCATAACATAACACAAAGCACAGAAACCAAACAAAACTGATTTTACTCTTTGATGATTTTTGCATGTAGAAAAGAAGACATTTGTATGTTTATGCTCTTTGCATGTGTCCCAAAACATAGATAGTGATAGGTCATAAGTGTTTCATAGAATAAGATAAAGGTAAAAACATACCTTAAGCCAACTTGGCACATTGCTCTTGTAACCTGTTGCTAAGATTATTGCATCAAATTCCTTTTCTTGTCCATCCATAAATTTTGCACCACTCTTTGTTATCTCCTTCACACCTTCCATCACCTTCACAAATTTCATCAATATTAGTCTCCTCATATAACTGACAAAAACCGATATTGTTAGACCGAATGTATAAAATAAAATAAAAAATTAAACATACCTTAATATTACCGGATTTAATTTGAGCAATTTGACCAACATCAAGGACAGGAGTTTTTCCTGTGGCAAGTTTGAGCTCTATAGGGCCAGTTTTAGGCCTTTTGATACCATAGTGATTGGTGTTTCCTAAGAAGAAGCTTGACACTAACAAGAGGAACTTGTCTACTAATTTTAGTGGAAGCCATTTATTTAATATCATAGCTACACCAAATGTTGAGAACCCAAAGATATCTCTTGGAAGCATGTGTACCTTAAATTAAATCATAAAAAAAAAAAAATGAAGCAAAGTTAGCATAAAAGTACAAACTCCAAAGTTTGATTATTAGTTACCTAAATGGGAAAAAAACATATACATGACATCATTTTAAGTACTTAACAATTATATAGCTTTCATTATCCATGATTACGTATTAAAAATACTTATAAAAATTCTACCTTTATGAATGTCACTGCTAAAAGTACTTATAAAATTCTATTAATCACCACGTGATTCTGTCAAATTCTTAGTTAAACCATATGTGATATTTGATAATATGAAAGATTGTTGAAAATTTAAAGTAAAAAAGAAAGGAGCTTACTGTGTTTCTAGCAACCAAGTGAGGTAGAGCATTGTGTCTACAAAGATCCAAGCTAACTTCCATACCAGAATTACCACAACCAATGACCAAAACCTTCTTGTTTTTGTATCGAGAACCAGATTTATAGTCACTAGTATGAAGAACAGGACCATGAAAATGTTCCATACCATGAATCTTAGGAATAACAGGCTCAGCATTTTCACCAGTAGCAACAACAAGCCAAGGTGAAGAATAGTCAAAACCATCTAGTGTTTTAACATTCCAAATTTGAGAACATGGATCAAACTCAGCACTGATAACAGTTTGGTTAAACCTAGGACGAATACCAAACTGATCAGCATAGGATTCCATGTAAGAAATGAACTGATGTTTGGTAGGATACTTAGGAAAATCTAGAGGAAAACTCATCAAAGGAAGCTCACAAAAATGTTTAGGTAGATGAAGTTTCAAACGGTCATAGGTTCTATTTTGCCAAAGTGAAGCTATACAATCACTTCTCTCAAGAATAAGACTCGGAACACCTTGTTCTGATAAGCAAGCAGCTACTGCTATACCAGAAGGACCAGCACCTACAATGATAGGTCCATGAATCCATAAACACTTAGGTTTTTGTTTGAAAGGATCCATGTTTGTGTGTTTTGTGGAAGAGGGTGATGAAAAAGTGAGAATTTAAAGAGTTAGGAAGGAGTTTAAAGGTGAAGTGAGAAAAGGGTCAAAGAGATTGGTTAAAAGGTTGGACCTTATAAATGAAGGCGTGAATGTTAAGGAAAGGATTTGATTCTCAAGGCAGTTTCATAACTGAAGAGAGAATGGTGAAAATATATAGAGACTTTAATTCTGTATTTATGGTGATGTGTATATGATGTGTATATTGTACTGTATATATATTAATGTCATGAATAAATGAAAATTTTGTTTATGCATGCTTTGGTGTTGATTTTTTAAATGAATGAGTAATGACTTGCAGTCACTACTCATATGTCTAATAAAATTTTGTTTTTTTTAACTATGTCACGCTTTGTCAGTTTTCTGACTATTCTCTGCATTCTGTGGCCCATTTTCTTCAATTTACAAGTATCAACTTCTATCAAGTATCAACCTACCCATTTCTCAATAATAATAATAACTCTAATTTTGAACTACAGTACAAGATAGTTATTGTAATTACTATTCTTAAACCTAAAACAAATTCATTACTCCTACATAGTTTATAAAACAGGTCTTATCAGTTGGACATATCTGTTTTATTTGCATTTTTATGTTAGATAAATTAAATTTTTGGCTCATTAATGTGTATGCCTCGTTTTAGTGGGTTTTTGTAGATATTAAAACCTATTAAATATTGACACGCCTATTTTTAGCAGTGTCCTTGTTTCGTAGTGTAATATTCTAAATGTATATAATATGGATTAGAAAAATGGAATTTGGTTTTGTAAAGTAATGAATTTGTATGACTGTTAGCAAAAGTTGAAGTGTGGGGAGTTTGAATTTGGAAGTATGGGAGGTCCAAATAGGCACAATATATATGCAAGTGAAAAGTGAGTAAGTGAGTGGATGGTGGTGTGTATATGTCAGGAAAGGGTGCGTGGGGTCTAAGTGGAAGCTGTTTTGTGTTGCTGTGCATATGATGAACAACGATCATCATGACGATCATATTTGAGATACTCTTGTACAAGTACTTCAAATAAAGAGAGTAATTGATACAAGTTGATAATTGTAAGTGTCAAAAAACATCAAATAAAAAGGCATCATATTGGGTTTTAGGGGTTTATTATCATTTGGGTTATAACCAATTTGATGTCGACCACGTTTATTAGATTCATCAATATTGGATATATTCATATGATGTTAGAGAGAGGAGAAGGAGATTATGTGGTAATAATAATGTTTTAAAAATCGGATCAATCATCAAATAAGTAAAAGTATTGAGTTACTGGTTTATTGTGTGAGTGCAATATTATCTATTAGATATTTTGAATGATGTCAAAACTAGAAAATATGTTGTATTGTATATTGGACGGTATTTCTTTATGTCTAGGTTTCATTATCATAATAAAACACTAAGGGATCGAGTCAAAAGCTTTTGGACATGTTAAAAACTTCAAAAATAAGCATTTTTTTATGAAAATTTATGTTTGTAGTCGACTCATTTGTATTAGGAGTCGACACCTTCCGAAAGAAATGTGAAAAGGAAGCCTCAGATTCAAAGAAACCGACTCTCTAGATTTGGGAGCCGACTCCTACTGAAAGTAATTTCAAAAACCTTTTTCTCTGGCTCGAAGGAGCTGACTCTCTCGCACTTGGGATCGACTCATTACACGAAAGAGTTGACTCCCACGTGTATGGGTCGACTCCTACTGAAGTTGATTTTTCACATTTTGTTTCTGTCCAAAAAGAGTGACCCCCCGGGTTGTATGGTTCGACTCCCTTGTCCTGGGAGTCTACTCCCTCTTCTTATGGATCGGCTCCCTCTGACTTATATGTCAAATTTTATATTTTTGCAGCCTAATTTTTTTTTCATGTTTTCTCATGTATCCTCACACACACACATACACAAAATATATGTGACGACTTCGCCTAGAGTCGGTGGAATTCCACAAAATGAATACTTATCAAGAGATATCCTTTTGAAAGGTATGACTTTGGAATGACACCTATGACTCTTTGTACAACCCTAACCAAAATCTCATGACGAGACCTTTCACGACTTTGAGACGAAAATCTCGGTCCGTAAAGAGGCTCCACCTAAGGGAGGCCCTTGTGCTTTTTCCTCTGGTGTTATTCATGACACCCTTAAGGAAGCCACCTTTTGGGGAGGATAGACTAACCGTAGGCCAAAGCTAAGAGTCTACCTTATAATGATACCTGTCATAAAATTCCGTCACTAAACCCTGCATCTATGCATTCATACATTTCATATATTCATCATCCGCTTCTTTTTCTTATTTGTCTTATTTTCAGAGTAAAAAAAAAGAGTAATAAAATCAAGATTCTGGTGATTATCTTGAAAAATGGATACCAAAGGAAAACAACTTGTCCGCGTCAATGCCATCAAGCCAGACATGTCTGAAATCAAAGCCATAAAAGGGAAATCATCTGAAAGAGCTCTGAAGATGTTCGCTCGCTGCTATGGGGATACCATTGACTTGACCAGAGTAGAGGTTCAACTAGACGAGATGTTTCTGCCCTCATTCAGATCTGCGACCCTCCTCTAAGATGCTTCACCCTCCAAGACTTCCAGCTAGCACCGACTCTGGAAGAATTTGACAGAATTCTGAACTTTTCTAAAGTGAAGGCCTATGTGGGTATCAGGAAAACTATTGAAGTCAAATTATTATCAAAGGGCTTAGGGATCCCTTATTCTAAGTTAATTCTGAATTACAGAAGAGAAGGCACAATACGAGGGATCAAAAGAGCATACCTAGAAGCTAAAGCACTCGAATTTTCTAATTATAAAGAATGGGATCCTTGTGTCAATCGTTTAGGATTGCTTGTGTTTGGCGTAATTTTATTTCCACGGACTTTGGACTATACCATTAGCATATTTTGGGGTGCGAAAATTTTCAATATGGATTCAACTCCCGCTCTGCTTGCTAACATTTATTACACACTGCATACAATGTATGAAAGAAGAAAAGGCACTTTAAATTGTTGCATTCCCCTTTTGTACTCCTGGTTCATGATCCATCTTTACAAAGAAGATTATATGATTCCAAACTTTACCAAACGCGAGTGGCCTCAGAAATTAAGGTCTCTCACTGTTAATTCAGTATTATGGTATGCAAGGAAACTAGATATTGGTGATATTACTTATAGCTGCGGGGACGTTCCTAATGTTCCATTGATCAAATCTCGAGGCTATATTAATTACAATCCTACCTTAGCCCTACGATATTATGGTGTCCTTTGGAAGATAAACCTTCAGATGAACAACTCCAATAATTGATCATTCATGACATGGATAGAAATGACCAAGGGTTTCTCAACAAGGTTATCCGTGCTTGGAATAAGGTTAATAAAAGGAAATCTGAAAGGAAGAATACCATAGCAAGGGAACCATACACTAGATGGGTCCTAGATAGTGTACAAATTATCAAGCTGCCATTTGATATAGATCCAAAGTATAAGTTAAAGGTCCCAGAGGTCACACCTATGTCCTTGGAAGAAATCGACAATTTGAAAAGCGACCTAAAACAAGCTCAAAAGGAAAAGGAAGGATTAGAACTCAACCTTTTTAATCTAACCAAAGAAAATAATCAAATGCAGCTCATACTTGAGTCAAAGGACCAACAGATTCAGAGAGATCAAAATGCATTGGAAAAAGAGATCCTTAAACAGAAGCGTACGACTGGAGGACTTTTGAGTGCGACCTTCAATCTAGATTCCCACAACCAAAGGTTAGAAGATGTTGCTATTGAAATCGGGAGGTCAACCAGATGGTATGAAAAGGCAACATATGACAAGAAGGTGCTAGAGGAAGACCTAAGATCCAAAGTTTGGCGCAAGCTTCTCTAGATCAAGAAGAGCAGATGAAATACCTCACCACCAGACTTCAAGACAGCCAAGAATCAGAGATTAAGGAACTCCTTGAAAGGATGAAAGCAGAGAGACTCCTGACTCAGAGAACTGAATAATATGAGCAAGTGTGCCTAGAGCTAGAAGGCCTCAAAATAGATTTCCTGATTCAACGAAGGCTTTATACAGAAATGAGGGCTGAAAAGATGTATTGGGAAGAGCAATATACAAAGATCGCCCAAGTAGGGAGAGATAACCATAAGATAATCCCACATCTTTATCAAGAATATCGATATTACAAGGACAAACATGAAAGGCTCGCTTTCCTAGCCAAAAATCTCATTGAGGATATCCCTAGAAGATTGAGAGACGCGGAAAGTGTAATGGTTCCTGTGATACGATGGCATAACCGACTGTTTGATACTGGTTATGCATTTTGTATTTGAAAATGTTGTGGTAAGCAAGAGTCGCCATCGACTTTTCTTTTATCCAAATTAAGGAAAGGGTGAAAAGAACAGAAAAATAACTTTTCGAGATTATTCTGAGTAAGGGGGTAGATTATGGAAAGGGAATGTGTTAGCACTCTTTCTATTCGTAGTTATCTACATGCTCTTAGAGGTTTGCTCATTTTGAAATACCTTTGTGCTTTGTGTGTTTGAAAATGTTTGGAAAATGCCTTAGTATGGCGAACTTTGTAATGTTTCTCGGGATAGTGGAGAAAGTATACAAAGTGTTTTGAAATTGTTTTTGAAAAGTAGAATTTGTGTAACTGCGAAAATGTTTTGAGCAAACTTCTAACATCTATCTACTTTGTACTCGAAAAGGTAGCTCTTTTCCTCCTATCCTTTACACAGTGTTATCCTATTATTAGTGAGTAGGTAGCCCTATTGTTGGATGTATAAGGGACATTCAAAGGGACGTTTTTATAGTCACAAAGGCAACTGGGAAAGAAGCTTTAGTAACTACCCTAAGGTTCTAAGATCATATTTTTACCAAGGCGACGTCGAGCGGGTCATCGGGGGACTTATGATCTTTTGAACCAGAGGGAAGCCACTAAAACCTCTCACGTTTCGAGAGTTGTGACTATTTTTCGAAGGCAACCGAAGTGGGGT